GAGATGTCTGGTCCCTGTTCAGGCTGTGACTCCCTCCTGAGGCCGCCAGCCAGGCCCCTCCTTGACAGCTGGGCTCCCCTGCCCTCACCTGGCCCCATCCATCTTGCCCTCCCCTGCCCTGTCTGGGCCTCCCTGGTTCCCAGGGGAAAATGGAGCAAAGACTGGGACAGTGGGCCCGCAGGCTGCAACGGCTCACTCCAGAGGGATCTGCTGCCTTCCATCCTCACCCTCCCTCTCCTCAGCCCAGTCCTGAGAGCAAAGGAATGTTCTGGAGTTTGGGAAGGATGGGGGCCCCTGGAGGAGGGAGGAAGGGGAGGAGGCAGCTTGTCCGGTTAGTGTCTAGGCTCTAAATAGAATACAGCGGCTGGGCTGGGGGAATGAAAATAAACAGCCCCTCTGGACAGCCCTTCCTAGTGGTCACCGGACTTTCCTTCTGGTCCCTCAGCTCAGGGCCATTTCCCTCCTCTCCTCTCAGCTCCCCTCCTAAAGGCAGCCTGAACTTTAGGAATGTTGGGCCAGGCTGTGTGACATTCTAGAACCTGCATCCCCTCTCTGGGCTCTGGTGAAGAGAACAGCCCACCACTACCCCTCCACTGAGAGAAACAGAAAGACCTGGGCCAACTCAGAAGTGGCTGCAACTTTTTCCACATCAGAACGGAGTTCCCATGTGGGATAAACTTAGAAACTCTCTCTTCAAAAACATGACCCCAAATTTAAGGGTCAATCTATGGTTGGGTTCAAGTTGCAATGCTTTCCCCATGCCTTGGGGTGCTATCTCTGACTCCCTCAGCCCGGGAGTTGCAACTCCCCTCCCAGTCTCAGAAGGCCATCCACAGTAGCTAGCAGGAGGGACTTTCTTGGGGTTCAGCAAGGCCTGGGTCCAGCGAGGCACACATCCTGGGTAATCAGATAACCCATCCCGGGTCCCGGGCCCATGGGCCAAAAGACACGAGCACATCGAGGCTCCGTGTGTTCAGTCTGTTCAGACCGTGGCTCCAAACTCTGCCCAGAGCCCTGCCTGAGCAGGACCTAATACTGCACCAGTGGGGCCCTGGGGTGGGTTCCCAAGTGAGCAGGCAGTGAGGCACGTGGATTCCTCCAGGGCCCTCACAGCAGACGGGTATGGGTAGGGGGTCCAGGAGCCCACCAAGGGTGCCTCAGCATCTGGGCAGTCGGTTCCCTGGGCCACCGGGTCTCCAGCCTCTTCCCTCTTCCCTTCTTCTCTTCACTCTCCCCCTCCCCCTCCTCTGCTCACAAAAGCTCTCTGTACACAGCCACTTCCTCTGGCTGCTGTCTCTACGCCCAGACCTTATGAGAACCATATGGGGGAAAGAGCAGAAGAGCAGGGGGTGGGGGACTTCGGCCCGCCCCTTCAGCCCGTCTTTCCATTGCCCTCGGGCTGTGCTGTGTGCAGGGCACTCAGTATGTTGTGCCCAAGCTCTCCAAACTGGATCCCGAAGGCTGCAGTGCCTGAGCCCTGGCCCAGAGCTGGAGGTCCAGAGGGAGGTCTCTGCCTCAGAGTTAGACCCCTAGTTGGGAGGACTCCCCAGAGGCTGGGAAGGGGCCTCCCACCCCTCTCCCCACTTTCACCCAAGACCACCAAACTCCTGCCAAGACACGCAGACAGTGCTGGGCTTGTGTGACCACAGCCCCTTCTCTGGCTGGGGAGCCAGCGGAGTGGTGACACCCTGGGATGGGAGACTGAGCAGATTTGGGGTTTGCCTGTTCTGGAAAAATATAGTGACCTGCCCCATGCCTGCCTGCTCCTCCTCACTCAGCCTGGAATGTTCCCAGGTCAAAAGGGCTCTGGTCCTTCTGAGAAAAGACTTTTTCTAAAAAGTGTGTGTGTGTGTGTGTGTGTGTGTGTGTGTGTGTGTCTGTGTCTGTGTCTGTGTCTGTGTGTGTGTGTCCAGTGGGCCCTAAGTCCAGCCAGGTAAACAACAGGCCCTCACCTGACAGGAACACTAAGGGATCCCAACCAGCTAATCCTGCTGCTGACCCATCTGGCTGTGTGACTATTAGCAAGGCGCCATCCCTCACTGGCCACAGCTTGCTCAGCTGTAAGATGTGGGAGCTGGACTCACTTATCTCTAAGACCCTCTCCAAGGCAGACAATGTAGGAATTTATGACACTGGCTGACGTGCTATGAGGGGCTGCTCAGAGGTCCTGGGAGGTCCTCTCAGCCCTGCTTCTGGACTTATCTACAAAGTCTGGTTCTGGAATTCCTCATTTTCAGGGCTCTCACCCCTCACTTGAACTCCCAGAGCCAAGAAGCAGAGGGCAGGGCCTCAACTGCTGCCCTGGAGTGGGGGGCTCACAGTGGGCCCCACCCACGCCAGCTACTTCTGGTCACCAGCCACCCACCCTGGGACCTTTCCCTTTGCCTCCTCTGAGGAGCCCCTGCCCACAGCTGCCCCACACACTGGGCCGAGACTTGGGGCGGGGTGGGGACTCAGATCAGGAAGGAAGCCAAGAGCTCTGCTTCCCTGGAAAACTGAGAATGAAAGTCCACAAGAGGAAAAAAGAAAAAAAAAGCAAAGGGTGGGGAGAGGGGGCATGGAGTCTACAAAAACAGAAGGCAGAAGTTGAGATAATGGGCAGTGGAGGAAGGGTGTCTCAGGAGGTAAACAGGACTCCTCGCAGAACAGAGCTGCCTTGGGGACACCAGGCCCGAAGGGCTGCAGAGCGAGGCTCCTTGCAGACTAGGATTTAGGTGGCACTTTGAACTCCACCACTCAGTGTCTGCCAGGCTTCCCAAGGTGGCATCCCCAGTCCGTTGAGGACTTGTGTGCCTCGAACCTGGAGGTCCACTCTGGTGGGAAATAAAGGGGATATTGGCAATGGAGGATGCAACCATACTTCAAAAGCAATTGGCTCAAGTTCCCTGGTTTGTACCAGGTGACAAGGTCAAAGGTAAAGGGGGAAAGTTGTTCGGGGTGGGTGATGGAGCAGGCTTCTCTGATGCCTTCTGCTTTGCTGCCTGGCCTAAGCAGCAGCCTCTTCCCAGCCCCTCTCTCCCTCTTCCCTGAAGTGGTACCCTGGGGGTACAGTGAATGTGCTGGGAATGTGCTGAAAACACGGAATCCCTGCTCAGCTTGTGCTGAAGGATAGCCTGGTTTCTTTTCCCTTCAGAACCAGCTGGGGGGAGGGGGGGCACATCAGGATCACAATTATGATCACAATTATGCAGAGCTAAGAAATATGTCTGTCTGGGGATTTGGTCACACTGCAAGCTGAAGGGACAATGGGCTCTGAGACGTTCCTGTCCTGTTCTGTCCTGTCCTGTGTGTTGTCCTGTCCCGTCTGGACTTCCCTGTCCTGGAAGGTGTCTACCCTTGGAAGGTATCTTGAACCACCCAGGCCAGTGTTCTCCTAGGAAAGGGGGTGGGGTGGGACCAAAGGCAGGCTGGAGCCACATGTGCTGCCACCCTGTCACAATATATTCTCACCCGGAGTTGGCCCCACTCCCTCCTTGGAGTGGCGTTGATGGGAATTAGCCATGGCTGGAAAGCATTAGTTGCCAAATCATTCTAAGATGTACTGAAAAACCACTTTTCTATTTGCCCCTCCCCTCTGCCTTGGCTGTTAGGGTTCCCTAATCCTGCAGACACTCAGAGACAGAATCCCACCTATATGAGCCCATGTGGCCACACCTGGGGTGAGCACAGCTCTCCGCCTGCTATTCCACACAGCCAGCACATGCCCTCCAGAACTGAGTGGGCTGGGGAGTGCCCAGGCCTGCCTGGCCCTTACACACCAGTGGGCTCTCAGAGATCGGCCACACTGTGGCCAGCTGGGGGAGCTGGGTGAGGGCAGGCACCCTGCCTCCACCTCCCGGCACACACACACCCAGCCAGGCAGCCAGCGTCACAGGCTGACCAGTTGTGTCCTGTCAGGAAGCAGGCACCCTCTGAACTCACCCAACCAGAGGCTTTACTGTATTGTTCTGGACACAATCGAATAGAGGAGCCAGCCCCAACTCTGGGCAAGGGGCAGTGGAGAAAAGGCTGCCACCGGTGTCCATAGGACAGAGAACGGGAAGCGGCGGGCTTTTCAGCTAGATCCAGGACAGGAGAGCAAGGGGCCGAGGCTAGGGCCTGACCCTCAACTCCACGGCATGCGAGGAGGGCCGAGCACGTGGCCCGCGCAGGAAATAGCCGTGAAGGGAAGGGTCGCGAAGGCTCCTTGGCTGTGGGGACTTGAGACCCCAATGGGAGGGCACAGCCCCCTCCGGCTGGCAACGAGGGCTGAATGGAGCCCCGGTGGCGGTGGGGATCGCGGTGGGGATCACGGAAGGGGCGGGGGGGGGGGGGGCCTCCGCTCAGCCCGGTTGGTTTCTTTGCAATCTTGGCGCAAAGAAGTTCGTCGAAAACCGGCCAAAGCTCGAGTTTTTGCAGGGGAGGGAAAACACGGACCCGGCACAAGTTCACTGCACAAATGCGCACAGTGCTCCGGAGAGGGGCCCAAGAGCAATCGGGACGCTGGGGTCTCGTTCAGACCAGAGGCGCCCGCCTTCCACGGGGAGATTTTTCAGAGCTCAGCCTCACGGCTGTCAGTCCAGACAGGAAAAACGGGTTGGAAGGCCCACGGGGGCGGACCGGCTGCCCCCGATCGGAGTCGCCCCCACCCAGTAAATGCAGGGGACACCTCAGCACGGACCTGGGCGTGTCCGCGTTGGCGAAGACCCCAGCGTCGATCCTTTCTGAGCCTTCCCTACTCCCACCCCGCTCAAGTCCCCAGAGCCCCCAGCGCAAGCCAGGCTGGAAACCTGGCACACTGGCGACGGGCGCACACCCCACCACACCTACGCAGGGGCGCACCTACCCCCGCAGCCCCTTCCTCTCTCTAGGCTCCAGAACCCCAATCTTTCCCCTCTTCTCCAAGCCTCTGCACTCGGGCCTGCCCTCGGGTCCCTGGAGTGGGAGGATCGCCACTTGCCCTCCTCCTGTACCCCGCGTCCCGCGTCCCTCGGTCCTCGCCGGCCAGGTAGGGTACTCACAGCGTGACGGTGCCGTTCGGCAGAAGGCTGGGTTCGGGAGGCTCCAGGAGATCCCCTCCGCCGCACGCCACTCTCCTGCGCGCCGGGTTAGGGGCGCCGCCGCCGACCCCCTTGGGTCGCTCCCCGGAACACTTGCAGCTGCGAATGGGCACCGGGCAGCCGGGGGCGCCCCGCGTCTCGGGCGCCAGGAGCAGCAGCCAGGGCAGCAGCGGCAGCAGCAGGAGCGCGGGCGCCTCCCGCATCCTGCGTCCCGCGTCGCCCATCAACCCATCGCCCGCGGGGACGCACAGCGCAGGGACCCCGGCGTGCGCGGCGCGCTCAGCGGGGGCCGGGGACGCCCGAGGGCGGGCCGGGGGTCCCTGGGCGGAGGCGAGCCCTGGGGTACCCGCCGCCGCGCCCCGGGGGCATGTCCGGCGCGGCCCGCGGGGGAGGGCGCGACCCGGCTGTCAGCGCTGGGAGGGCGGCCCCAGCCTCGGCACGGCTCTCCTCGGCGGCGGCGGGCGGGCCCCTGCTCGTCCCTTGCTCGCGGGGCTGGGCTGGGACCTAGCGGATCGAGCCGGGCTCCCGCCGCCGCTCCGGGCCATGGATGGAGGCGGCTCGGCGCCGCTCCCGCCGCCCGCCCCTAGCCGCCGCGCCACTCCGCGAGGCCCTAGCGCCTCCCTCCGAGGCCGAGCCCTGCCCCAGTGGGAGGGGCGAGCCGGCTGGACACCCCGCACCCTTGCTGGGTCCCCTGCACCCCCTCCCGACCCTTTCCTTTAGCCCGGGGCCACAGCCCAACTCGGATCACTGAGCCAACACCGTGTCTGTCCACAACACCTTCCAACTCCGGCTCCTCGGGCTCCTCCAGCCCGATTCCTGGGCCTCTAGGGCTTTCGCGGACCCGCGGACTGACCCTGAGAAGTCCGGTGCTCCATGCTGGGGACCGATCTTTGCTCACCGCTGGGAAGTTTCCGCTGGCCCCAGTCTGACTCGACGGCCAGTCTGGACTTTGGTTCTTACTCTCACACCCTGCTCCTGGTCTCCAGCTATGATGAGGCCACCGCAGGAGGGTAGGAGGGTACAAGCCTGGGACAAGGAGGCAGCAGACCTTATCCAGCCAGCAGTGACCTCGCCCGGCGGGGGGTGCGTGTCATTCGGCCAAGGAGAGGTCAAAGGCTGAAGCAGATACTGCTAGATCTGGCCACCGTGTGTGTGTGTGTGTGTGTGTGTGTGTGTGTGTGTGTGTGTGTTGTTGGGGGGACAGTGGGTAGAAAGAAGGAAAACGAGAAGGTTGTGTGACAGGGTGTGGGCAGAGCACTGCACAATCCGTTCTAGGCTTAGCCCTGCCTTTTACTAGCTGTTGGACTTTGTACCAACCCATAACTTCTTGGGGTATCTGTAGATTGTGGTATGGGAAAGAGGAAATGGGGGCGGCTTGGACAGGCTCTACCTTGACAACTGGGAGGGGGTGAAAGTGCTGGTGGTGCTGGATGAGCTACAGTGCTCCCTCAGTTTCCCCAGGAAGGATGGTCTTTCCACCAAACAGCCTTTCTTTTCTGCTAAAAGTCTGGCTGCCAGGACTGAAGCAGGACTGCTGCCCCCTACCTGCCCCTGCAGCACCAAGGTGGCCCCAAGGTGACCCAGCCTTCTTTCATGAGCTTGGCCCTGCTTTCCCAGGACCACTGTGGCTGGCAGCAGACACTGGCTCCTTTGCCCTCCCTCCCTGGCTCCACAAGTCTCCCAGTTGCAGGCTCTGGTTCCTTGAACTTCCAAAGATAAATAAATAGTGATTGCAAACGGAGGAAGGGAGAAGGGGAATGGGCTCCTCCAGCAGGGGCTGGGGCTGGGGCTGCATTCCTCAGAAAAAGGGTAGAAGAGCCCAGGACGGCCAGGCAGGGCTACATATGCAGGCCTCCACTCAAGACAGGGAAACCTGGGAGAAAAAGAAGAGAGAGGCCTCCCCCAGCATGGCTTTTCTGTGATCTTTTTTTGCTAAATGCAGACAAAGTCCAGAAAGGAATTCTCCTGTCCCACCCACTCTCCAAGGCTGAATAGTGGCCAGATGTCGTTGACATTACCAAGAATCCAGGGTTCCCCAGGGTGGGAATGAGGTACCTGGTGCAGACATGTACAGCCCTCCTGTGCAGGCTAGGGCACGGTGGCTACTCCTATTATCCCAGCACTCAGGAGGCTGAGGCAGAAGGACCTCAAGTTCCAGGCCAGCCTAAACTACATGGGGGGACCATGTCTAAAAAGAAAGAAAAAAAGAAAAAAAGCCAAATGGTGTGGCACAAATCTATAATCCCAGGGCTACGGGGCTGAGGCAGGAGGATCACAAGTTCAAGCTCAGCCTGGGCAACTTAGCAACTTATTGAGACCCTGTCTCAAAATTAAAAATACTCAAAAGAGGCTCCAAATGTAGCTAAGGGCAAAGACCCTGGGTTTAATCTGTAGTACTACAAAACAAATACCCCTCCCCCCAAAACCCACTCGTGTTCCAGGGTCATCATATTTGGCTTCTATACTGCCCAGGAAGGGTGGGGTAGGAGTCACTTTCCCATTTTGTAAGGATGAATGAGGAAACTGAGTCACTGAGCAATACAGCCTGAAGTCCGGGGAAGTGAATGCTGGGCCAAAGGTTTTCCCATAGGGTGCTCCCTCAGAGGTACACAGAGGAATGAATGACTTACACATCTAAATCTTCTTGTTTTACAAATAAAATAATGTAGGTGTGATGTTACATGCCTATAGTCCCAGCTACTTGGGAGGCTGGGGCAGGAGAAACTCCTGAGTGCAGGAGTTGGTTGGCAATGTAGGGAGACTCTGTCTCTTAAATAAAATAAGCAAAATAAAAGGTTCCTGTTTAAGGTTTGTTTGAGATAGGAGGATTACTCACACTTAGTTCCCAGCCTCAGAAGATTCAGGTTGGGAGCTGGGCTGATGAAATACACTTTGTTTTTAAATGTGTTTGGTAATGCTGGGGGTCAACCCCAAGGCCTCAAGCATGCTAGGGAAGTGATCAATCATTGAGCTATATCCCCACTCTCTTGTTTTGTTTGCTTCTTCTTTGTTAGTATTGGCTTGCAGTACAAAATGATTACATTCACCATGAGGAAGTGGTACATGTTCCTATCACATCTTAATCATTTTTACCTGCCCTCCCACCCTTAAATGCACTTTAATAGGTGACAGGCTTTTCAGTGAACACTGGGATAAGATGCCACGAGAACAATAAAGGCCAAATTAATTTTGACCAGGGCAAGGAAGGGGTCTTACCAAAAATTTTAGACCAATTTTGTCTCCTCTACTAGACCTTATCACATAAGGGTCTGGAGGTTCACATCAACTGTCTTCCTCCCCTAAGATCTAACTTCTGTGTCTGGCTTCTTTGAAAAAAAAGAAAAGGTCTCACTATATTCCCCAGGCTTGTCCTGAACTTCCAGGGCTGAGTGACCCTCCTGACTCAGCTGGGATTACAGGTATGTGCTTTTTTTTTTTTTAATTTTAATTTTATTTATTTTTTTTAAACAAGCTTCTCATTAAGTTGCCTGTGCTGGCCTTGAACTGGCAATCCACTTGCCTCAGCTTCCTGAGTGCTGGGACTACAAGCCTGTGCCACCACCCCTGCCAAAACATACTTTCTTAAAAAGTGTGGCTGCTAGCTGACCTCCTGGAGGAGGGGCAGGGCTGGGCCAGGGCCACTTCGAGAGGTGGGTGAGGGGACCAACATCTGCTGAGCGCTGAGTATTTGCCCAGCTCTGGTTCTGTGTGTTTCCAGGACTTGGTTCATTTAGTCCTCCCAATAGGGCAACAAGGGGCTCCTGAGGGGCGGAGAGGCACCCGAACTAGCCGTGTGTTCAGGTCTCTGGGTGAGCGAAGAAACGGATTACTTACTGCTGCTGTTGAGCTGCTCTGGGGACTGGACCCAGGTCCCTATGCATGTTGACCACATGCTGTCCACCACCCCACACCCCCGCCACACTGCACTGGAGAACTGGGGCTGGATGTCGGGACTTGGCGCCAGAGCCCGACACTGTAACTGTCATTCTCTATAATTTTCGGGAGGAAAAAAGCTCTCAACAGTTCCCCGAGTTCTACTTTCCCTTGAGGTTTGCTATCTTGGATTCCCTGGCTCTCTCTGAGCCAACCCTTTAAAAAATCCTCTTCTGACGCACTGCTGATTCTAGCATCAGGGTCCCCTTCACTTAGTCCTCAGTGGGGCCAGGGAAACAGAAACTTTGCAAGGAACTTCACTACAAAGCCAAAGCCAGGAGAAGGGAAGGGAGTGAATACAGAATACAAGAAAGGAGCTGGAAGTCAGGTGTGGTGGTGCAAACCTGTAACCCCAGCACTCAAAAGGCTGAGGCAGGAAGAAGATCTCCATGAGTTTGAGGCTAACCTGGGGTACATAGTGTTCAAGGCCAGCATGGACTACATAGTGAGACCCTGTCTCAAAAAACCAACACCAAAACAATGAAAACAAACACGAAAGGAGCTGGCATGATTACTCATCTATAATTCCAGCTACTCCAGAGGCTGAGGCATGAGGATTGCAAGTTTGAGCCCAGTGTAGGCAACTTAGCAAGACTCTATCTCAAAATAAATTTTTTAATAAAGGCTAGAGAATAAATAAAAATTTTTAAAAAACACTGCATGAGGTCTTGGATTCAATCTGCAGTACTGCAAAAATAAATGAGTAGCTGAGTGTGGTGGCACTTGGGAGGCTGAAGCAAGAGGATTGCTGTGAGTTCAAGGCCAACCTCGGTATATAGTGAGTTCAAGCCCAGCCCGAACTACATAGTAAGACCCTGTCTCAAAAATAAATAAATAAATAAATAAATAAATAAATAAATAAATAGGCAAATAAAAAAGATTGTAATTCTGGGGCTAGAGATGTAGGTAGCTCAGCCCCCCAGGGTGGCTCTAGGGCCCTCCCTCTTGCCTCTTCCCTGTCCTGTCCTCGGGGACTGCAAGGCGCCTGTCCTGCTGGAACACCCTTCGTGGGCCAGGAGGAATGGAAGGAACCAGGGTTGTGGGAGCCACCCAGATAAGCATCTGCTGGTGGGGATTCCACCACCCAGAAAGCACCTGGCTATGACCCGAGGGAAGGGTCGTCATCTCGTCATCTCTGTCTCCTAAAGCCGGAGTCACCTTTTCCCCTTGCACTCCTGGGAATCAAACCCAGGAGTGCTCTCTCTCTCTGAGCTGTATCACCAGCCCTTTGCACTTTTCATTTGGGGACAGGATCTTGCTAAGTGGCCCAGGCAGAGCTTGAATGTATGAA